GACTTGCCACGGTCTCCAACCCTCCTCCTTTCTCATCCGGGCTTGGGACCGGCCATGGCGGAGTTAAGTAACCGTTTATTAAGAGTCAAATGAATATTTACCTTAAACGTAATTTATATGTGATGCGAATGCTCGGTAGTAACTTAATGAAAATAAAAGTTGGTTTTAGGTACATAACGCCGGATAGGTTCATTTTTGAACCTTGCACTGCCGACGGTTCAGTAAAGGGCGAAGCAGGTTTGGTGATCGATCGCGTTTCACAGGAAATAGAAGTTCACTGTGAGTAGGTTTCTCATAAGGTTGATCTTTTCATTTTCATGGTGAGTTTGTTTTAGTGCTTGACGAAAAGCCGTCGTTGACTAAACCACGGCTCGTGTACGGTATATTTGGCATTATTCATTTGACAGCAGGTAACTTCACTCTGAATTTTTTATGATTATGTGAATAATGAGTTCAGATTTTTATTTGAGGTCCTTACCTCATTGTGATAACAAGCGCGATATGCGTAGGTACGATCAGTCAACACAAAATCTACAAGGTCACTTCAACGGAAGTTCTGCCGTACGTTCATACACTTCTTCATTTGAACGAAGTCCAAGTACACTACCGTAATTGGTTTTCCTTTTGAATTTCGTTCATTGTTTTTAAGATGGAAGATAATACACTTTTCCTTAACATGCTGAATATGGTGCTTTCGTTCAAAAATTTTTATTATTCAACTTCTTTTGATATAACCCATTCTTTACAACGGCTCAACAATACTAGTCCTGAATTTCGAACCATGCCGCTGCTCGAACGGGTATCGTACGTGTAACCTTTTATCATAATTGGTCATTCACGTTTTTAGGCCGATTTACGCTTCACATGGAATTACCATTTGATGAAAGATCTCATTGAATCCGCGCAGGTAAATTTTTCCGATGTTTTCGTCACTTAAGAAATTAAAAAACTGAAATCTAACTGTTGATTTACCAAATTAGTTGTTTCTTCAGATTTTATGCATTTTATCATATGATTATGAATAAACATGCGTTTTATGGCAGTTATTTTAGAGTGTACGTCAAACCTTTCATATTTATAGCTGTTCTCCGTTCTTCCAAAGAAGTTTTTCAGATTTACATAGCATAGTCACATATAGTCTCTGTGATGTTAGCAGCCTAGGAGACTTTTTAAGCTGGTCATAGTTCCATGGTATTTTAGCACCTGCAGTGCATGAGCGCAAAACGGCGCCACTTTGTAAATCACCAGAAAAATTTGGTCTTGCTTGTAAACTCATAACAGCGGGATTAATGTTCATCGATATGCCAAGGACTGAGCGATTTCTGTTGTGTTCGAACAGGTTTTTGTTCGACCCAACAGGATAATTATTTTTTTCGCTTGTAGGCTCCTAGATACAAGCAGACGATGCGTTATGCCATATCAATGTTATTCTTCCTGGCAGTATTAAAAACTAACGGTTTGCTAGTAAACTCATAATTATTATGGGTTTATTTTTGATATTTGGTTTACTTAATTGATTTTTTGTTTAATTTTTTAAATTGCTTAGTTCTGAATCAAGAATACGTAGTCACCGAGGAGGGGCAAGATCCGCTGTTTCGAAGTGGCGAGTTACCTGAGAGTAGGGTTAAACTTTGAGTAGTAGAATATCCACTCCAGTATTTTTGGACCATCCGCTCTGTTTTCCCATCAGCATTGCGGTTTTTCTTGATGCGTTTTTAATGTTTATTATATTACTATAAGATATACGATATCATGCATACTATAAGATTATAAGAATGAGTGTATAAAGAAAAATGAGGGTTCAAACAGCTTGCATTTATTGACAGTTTAATCAAATCGCAGAGTAAGTCTTGCTAGACCGACTGTTATCATTAATTTTTCCTGCCCCTTACTCTGTTTTAACCTGCTTGCGTTTGTGCATTCGCAAAGTAGTTACAGTGCAGGTTTGTAGTAATGCACCGTAATCCTTGCTCCTACTGTTTGAAGAGGGACACTTAGCCTAAGACACAACTCCATGGTATTTGAACATATGTAGGTAACACCAAATAGATCTTGTATCTTTTTTGACGAAGGCAACATTTAATCTCCGGAAATTTTTATGTACCTTCGTGTAACATTGTAAATGTGAATTCGAATTTCGAAGTGTGAAAATCGCTAACTTGTCTAAAGTCGGATTACACCACTATGCGCACCGTTTCTTAATAGTCCATCATTCCTACTAATAAAATTACGAAGAGGGCTTGCCATGAATTTCAAAGGAGATGTTTCAGAATTCAGCGCAGTCGTCTGAATTAATCCCATCCAAAGCTGAAAAGTACCGGCCTTTTCATACCAGTCTGTTTAGGAAAAGATTCTGTAGTTGTGAAGGAATTGGTTTAGCCAAACTATCGTTGAATTTTGAACAATATATATTTATACAATCTTTTTCACAGAACATGACGTTGTTCAGTTGTTCTCTTCAGTAGTTTTACAGCAGTAAAATTTTTGATATTTCAACGTTTTTTAATTGTTCATAGCTAATTGAACTGATTTCTTCACTTGATAATACAAGTCAAGCTTGTCAACCTTATTTGAAATTAGTGATTTGCACGCAAATTTAATTTGCGCCGAATCCTATCTTCCGCGTTTGAATTGATAAAGTGAATTACTCTTGCTTTCGTTTGTTTTTTTGAAAGTATAAGTGTTTCTCATTTTGTGCAGATAGGAAGCTAGAATATGAAACTACATCTTCGTTTTGCAGTGAGGTTGTTTTCAGACTGCTAGAATCCAGAATATGGCCGACAATTCGCGGTTCAAGTTTACAGTCCCTATAATAATGGGATTCATTCACATATCAGATTATACAATCGATGACTGTTTCTTCAAACTGATTCTTTTGTCGAGGCGATCTTGTAATCGGGCTGGAGTCCGCTTTCAGACCAGAGGTATTGACAACGAAGGAAATGCGGCGAACTTTGTTGAAACCGAGCAGATATTAGAGTACGGCGATATTCTGTGCTCATTTGTTCAGGTATTGCATGTGATAACTAAGCTCATTTAAGTCGAAGCCCAACAATTTAGACAAGGGGTTCGATTCCGTTGTGTTGGTCACAGAAACCGAATTTGCGTTGGCAGCCATGGCCAAAACTGAAGTCAGACTATGACCACTTGAAAACGTTTCGTTACCATATGGCTTCCCAGTTTTATACGTACGGCTATCAGGTTATCGTTAGCCTGCTCGACCAATGCGGTAGAGAAAAGGATATTGCAGCCGCGTTCGAGAAGGTGTTCTCAGACGCAAACCTGAGCGGCTTCAAGTACTGTACCGATTCTTGCATAAGCATAGTATCATATTTAATGCATTGTAGGTTCGTTAATTTCGACTTCCACAAAGAGTGCAAGAACATGAACTGGAGTAGGTTGAATGGCTTGATAGACAGTGTAAAGGATGATATAAATCGTTTTGGGTATGAAGCTTTTTTTTACGCAGCTGCTGCTTATAGTTGCTTTAGCTATTTTGTCTCCAAGAAGAATGACCCCGGCTATTGCAAACAACAGGAAGGCGTATTTCGTACGAATTGCATAGACTGTTTGGACCGGACTAATGTCGTACAGAGTCTTTTGGCTAAATATGTTTTGGAAAGTCAGCTGAAGGTTCGTTACGACGTTCGTTGCTCTGGATGTTTAACGTTTTTGCTTTTTTCACAGTGGCTGCAGATACTGACCGATATGGATAGCATTGAGAATCATTCTAGTTTTTCAGCAGCATATAAAAACTGTAAGTATTGGAAGTTTAATATTTGATGTGAAAATAAACGAATAGTTCTTTGAATGAAGTCACTGCTTTTCATTATTCACGTTATGTAGATCAACTGACTCATTAATAAGTATTAAATGTGGAAAGTTGCACTTACAATTGCAGGGCGTTTTGCAGTGGATTTCGATTGAGTCTAGATATCCCATTTGTCAGTATTCAGTAAGCACTATTCAACTGTGCACTGTATGACTCAGATAATTTATCTGCTTGAAATATATTGTGGACAGCAGAAAAAATTGAAGGTGTCACCCTAACATAGACGGTGATGATTTGAATTGGTATTAGATTGGCTCACGTTTTAAATAGAGTGTATTACTGGGTGTCATTGGGGTAGAAGATCCTTGATACCAGTTTCAGCTGGCTCAAATATATTAGTATTCTGTTGCTGCTCGTTAAAACGAGTTTTTAGGTTTTGACGTTCCACGTTGTAATTATAATCCGTGCTTAAGGCAGACTGGAGCCTTATGACTTTTGCTTAATGCAACTTTTGTAGATCACGGTTGCTTCACTTCCTTCCCAGTCTTTAACAGACATGACTTCAGCAACTGAAAGGGTTTTACTGTCTGTAATTTCTCATTTGTTTTGTTTCGCATGACCGCTTTCCGCCAACAATATGTTATGCACTGAACGTGTTGTTATTGAGCTTTGCTGAGTCATTCTTTTGCCAGCGGGCTAAATTACTACTTTCGGCCTCGTTCACATATTCTTTGGCGATGGTGAATGCGGTTCTTGGTTCTCACTGACCCACCGCTGATCTGTAACGTTGACCAATGATTCCTTCAAGTACCTGTTTTGCCGCATGAAACGCAAATAGCCATGCATTCAAAGGAATGCTCTTTGTTGTTCTTCACCAGTTTTCCTTACCTGTTTCACCTGCCTCTTTAGTTGTCTGTTAAGCTGTTGTAACTCTCTTTGCGGTTAAAGGGGCTCATTTCGCAGTACTTTTCTCCATCGTTGAATCTGTATTTGCTACATTACTTCCGTGAATTAACAAATTAGAAGAGAATTTTGATGACAATGACGTTTCTAAGACAAAAGCTAAGATTGAATAGTCAAGCAATATTAGTGCACTGTTTTATGAATAGCCGACAAGTGAGTGGTGTAACTCAAGGCAAGGATTATTATGCTCTATAAGTCATTTGAAATCAGCCGCTTCTTTCATCTCTTCCCTCTCATAATGTATTATGCAATAATTTGCCAATGTGCGTTTCTTTGTGCGAATATGCCATCACTAAAAGTAGTCACAAAATTTACTTTTTAAGAGATTTTGATGAGGAGTTGCAGAGTATAGATGGTTCAATCTGCAATTTAGACTTTTAAAGATCAGCATTCATTTAGGCTGACTGGCTAGCTTCTGGCATTTTTAAGGAACTAACCTGACGTTTTGTATTCTCAATTCTTTTATCAGGAAAAATTGACCTTCTAGTAACGAACTTACGCGGTGTTCTAGTTGTGAAAAGTTAGGTGTTAGAAGTTATGGTACTTGTCATTCTGTTTACCGAGAATTTTCAGCCACTACCCTTCGAAATATCATTAATACCTGTCAGTCTGCGCAGCCGTTAGCCTAAGGGCTAAAATATTGAAGCTAGAAAGACATTAAAATGTTGTGACTGTTCAGCAGGCTTGTTGGTGTACAACACATGATCTAATGAGGTAAGAAGTATTAGCTTACCAACGTGCTATTTCTCGCGCAAACGCTTAACAAACGTCTTCAAGCAGTGTCAGCGACATTCACAATTACCTGTTTTCATTTACGCGACATGCCAGGATCCTGTGCAAAATCTGTTTCAAGAAATTACAGCACCGCGGACATGAGGTTATCCAAGCCATCACGATACAGTTTACTGAGATCTGAGCAGCAATATGAATAGCGATCTTGCAAGTTAGGGGTCCAACTTCGAGAGAGGTGAGCTGCCGTGATTTCCAGTACGTCTGCAGTTGTACTAGTGGGCGGTATCTTTCAAATTAATTAATCTTCGCCAAAGAAGAAGCGAATATTGAGACGTGAAACGAAAAGCCCCTCTATTGAGGAGTTGATTGCTGGTACCGCGGATTTATTGGTTCCTACTTGTCTGGTTCGTTGAAAGCTTAAGCAGCTTGCTTAGCTCATTTCCGCGAGAGTAATTAATTTCGTTGTCGCTCGTTAAGAGTTCAGCCTGATAACAGACATTTGAACACGAACCTTAGAACGTATTGTTACATACTGACTGACTGCTTCTGCTGTTTCTGCTCTCTTTGACGAATGTTGTGCAAGACAGCAGCATAAAGGGACAGGGGCGCAATTGGCTAGTAGTTAGCTTTGCACGTTATAGGTGCGAGTTCAAACCCCACATGCGGCGTAAAATTTTTTCTTGTTCACTGAGCAAGGAATTCACCCCTCCCCCACCTTGCTTTGGCGCAATCAGCCGAAAAAAAGCAGGACTCTGACCTGCAAATAAATGGAACAACATGGTGTTCTAGTGTGATGATACCAGGAAGTGCGAGACATACGGCTGTACTGTTTGATGTGTGCGCCTTCCGGCTGCAATTCGCCTTGACCCACATTTTAGCCGATTAAAATTTGGCACAAGATATAAACGTAAGCGTTGTTTTGCGCTCATGCATTGCAGATGCTAAAATGCCATTGAGCCATCTGCTAAAATACCATTGCTAAAATATCATTGTCCTGTTTTAACGGTCTACTAGGCTACCAAAAGCAAGGGACGGTGCGCGCCACCTTTAAATCTCAAGAACTGGCGGCAGAATGTGTAAATTTGAAAAGTTCAGATTACATTTAGAATTATAAAGGTAAGTAAACATGCTACTGAATCAGTTCATTGAACCAGCCATAACATTGCAAAATGGACGTTACATTTCATTAATAACTTGCTACATTTTTGGCACCCACTCATGCATGTCAAGAATGAAATTTTTCAGCTGTCCTTCAGAATAAAAACTAAACTACCTGTTTTGCCGCTCACTGCAAGGCTTTCTTGCCCGGCCGTGTTTCAAGTTTTCATTTTTGGCTCTGGGCAGTAAAACTTCACAGAGGCTACGGAGGTCAGACTGATTCAACGAGCTGGAATGAAAGGATGTGCAGCTGACCAGCTCGGTAGCATTTCAAATTTCGGACTACTTCTCCCTGTTAGGTTCAGTGTAAGAAGCTCGTTGTCTTGCGTGTTATTGCGATTGTCGCAGTGCAGAGTGATTTGACTTTGAGATGGAGAGAAGGAAGATATCACGCATTTCTGTAGCAGGAAACTGATGCTCCTGTCTTTAGTTGTTGTTGATATTTGATTATTTCTGCGCCTTATACATTTTTTATTTTCTGTCATGAATGATTGTTTGTTGACTGTCGATCAACTTTTAGCACTGTGGTCATTAATTCTTTTTCGAATGCAGTGCTTCGTCAGAAACACGCTTTGCTTTTCTTACTGCGTTTCCATTTGTGAATTTGTCGCTTTTAGTGTGGGCCGACAACGGAAATGCTTGCAGTGTTCAATATGCGGGCACCGGAGCACTCAAAGATGATTTTACGAGGTTTGATAACTTTAGTATGTTTCTACGGAATTTGCCATTTCGATCATAGTGGCGTTAATTGATATATAGATGCAGTTGCGTCTGACATTGCACATTGAACAGGCATTTACTGTTCGTTAATGAAAGTAACATTTCGTGTTTTATTATAGTAGTTGTCATGTATTGTTTGCGGCCATGTAGTTTAGGTGCTGCTTTCGCACAGACGGTTACTACGTATATTACAGAGGAACAAATTAGTAGTTGTTCGAAGAGGGATGTAGCAAAATATCATTGTTATTCATGTTTGCCTCATTTTTTGATGGCACTGGACTCGTTGCAGTGACGCCTTAACCTTTTTAGTATGAGTAATTTTATATGGTAATTTCTAGAAGTAGCGAGGTAATAGTAAATTGGAATAGAAGAAACCATTTGCATGTTGAAATCATGTCTGATCGGTTAAAGTTAGGTCTTCCTATATGGTCTTTCATGTTGTATACTCAAGTTACATTAACGAAGTTCTTCTGATGGTGCATTTGCATAACATTACGGTCATGACTGTTACTTCAAACTGTTCGTCTCCCAGTGACGTCGTTGCCTATGATAGTAATATAATTGTTGAACTTTGAAGATTTTGATAGCATCTGGTCTCACATTTTCTGTTTAGTACCTTGAGCATCTGCTGCCGTTTCAACACGTATTGTCATTTTCTCATAGAAAAACTTGCAAGCGCACACGATTTGGATTGCGATGTAACAGGGGACCAAGGACAGGTTGAGTGTCACATAACTTAAGCATATTTAATCGCTAGCACTGCCATACTCGAATATCGAGCAGCTGCGGGACCCTTCTGATTGGCGGAAAATCGAAATTATGAATGGAAATAAAACAGTTTTTCACAGTTTGTCTGTATTGCGATATCAGCTGAATCTTTTCTACAATTAATCAGCACGTTATGTTTAAATGGTAGATTGCATGACTTTATTAGGGATTAAGAGAAACACTATGCCCCGTAATTCATTATTCTGGCCAATGGTTTTAAAGTTCGTGAAAAGCGTTCATCGTTTCTGTAACGTGTAGGAGAGTTATTGAGTTTCTCGTTAGGCTGCAATGTTCTGTCTGATCTTTTCACTTTTTTGGCACAGTTCCAATAGTTGGCTTCATAGACAGGATGAAGACAGATAATTACCAAGTAAATAACGCAATAAAGTACATTGGATGAAATAAGTTTTTGCAGAACCCCTTATTGTAATAGAAGTTCATGAGGTGACGTAACGAATTAGAATATAAAATTTTGGCCGCGTTAATTGTTTTGTCTTTACATTAACATCTGTAAAAGGATAGTGTAAGGCGGTCTAAAGTGTCTGCCTAAAATAAGTTTATTCGCCTCTTGTTTGTGCCGTAACTGTTGGATCAGATGGCCTGCTATGAAATCTGCTTACTTAAATTATTGTATTAAAACAATGCATCGGAACCTTATGCTTCATTCTGACGATAAATAGCATGGCGAGGATGTGCGATTATTCTCTTTTCAGGAATCGATATGGTCCGTAGGTACAGACAAGATGCTACATTTGTATTTCTCTTCATTCACTCAGTGATCCTCCCATGACACTATTGCATTCACTCCTTCACATCTTGAACGATAATAGGTCCTCCCAGCCATCGTCGTTATGTTAGCTGTACAATCTGGAGTCAATTCTGTAGAAAGTCCATACCGTAATTTTTGTCTGCTTTCTGTAAAGTGGACAGAAGTCGTGACATCTGGAAAGAGAAGCTTATAAATAGGAAATAAACAGAATTTTTACAGTCTGGTGCTATACCCTGTTTAGAAGGTAGCATCTTAGTTTTCTTTTTCTTGATTCGTCATCAAACTTCGCTATTAGACCACAGCTTATGAATATGTGTAGATACGAACAGTAAAACCTTTTCCTAACAATCCGCAGTCATGAATGTAATATAGTTTTAAAGATTCGTTTTAGTGTTCTTCTGAAAAATTTCTTTGTTTTATGGCGAAACATTGTCTGGGTAAAGTCTTGTTTGTCAAAAAATTTTTTACACTGTGCAAATGGCTGTTTAAAAGCATTTCGAAAGCTATTTGAATGCATTGATTAGCTTTTTAATTTACTCTGGGTTATATGCGTGAAGTTTTATAATTGCCGTAATGTACTGTAAGTTGTTTATGTGTTGCACTTATTAAATATTCTTTTACTTCATGTAACTGATTATCAGTGGAAAGAAGCGCTAGTCAAAAAACGAGGCAACCAGGATCACAACTTTCTGTCATATTCACTGAGGTGTTTGTTTCTTTCCTTATATAAAAATTGTTTTGTAAACTTGATGTTCAGTCTGGCTATCTGATTATCTGGTAGCTGATTTTATTCAGTCGGTACAATATTGAATGCAGTGTTGATTAGAATCGCTCGTTTACTCTGTGCGCTATCGACACAATTTGTAGGTGCGGTAAGCGAACGATGATGGGCTCTTTAAAAGATGCTTATAACGCCGTAATGCGATGGTACATTAACAATTTCACGGACGGATTCAGACAGGTATATACCCAGCTTGTTCGATGGAATGTTCTCATCGTTTAGGGCTTTAAGCACCAGTGGCATGGCGGCACGGTGTTTAAGAAATCTGCTTCAGGCTTCGAAGGTGCCGGATTCGATTCCGCTCGGGGGCAATCTTTGTCTTACTCATGAATTTTCTTGAGCAGAAAATTTATTTACCATACATTGCTTCATACCGGCGTTGCTTAGTCGGTTGAGAGTCAGACTTAGAACTGAGTACAAGTCCTGAGTACAAGCCCCGATCGAGATCACTCGCCCTTCCTCCTTCCAAGATTCACAAATGATTACCACTCTGTGGGAAGAAAACAGGAGACTACACGCTATGCTTGCTACATGGCTGTAAACTCTCTTTCTTTAAAAAAAATCAGCCATTCTCGGCTGATGACATAGAAACAGAGATCAGCACTGCACCATTAACTTTAGTTTAAGCAGTCATTTAAGTTTAAGTAGAAAATATTTGACGAATTTTCTTAAATGTCCACAGATGAGAATTTTAGTCCACCAGATTTCTTAATAAGTAACGTTTTTTGACAAGCCAGTGGTTGTCTTGTCTCTTCGGCGGAAGCTGAAATGGAATAAATGCATTGCCATTTTCTCCTGGCTACGGAGAAAAGCCAGTTTTACCTTCAAAATTTACCGTGCTGCTTCCTTCCAAAGGAATATGGTTATAGGTTCCAAAGGAGCTGGTTATACACCTTTTTGTAGGATGCAATTGACCTGTTTTTGGGAAATCACCCGTATGACGACTTCACATCTCTTAAGTATTCCGAAATCAGGAGGAACATATGGACGACTTTGGTAAGATGACTGGTGTCTATCATTTTCATATTTTACCATAACGTTTAAGGTGCCAGTTGCGTTCCTTTTTTGCATGTCAATGCTATTGCTCAGCCTCATAATTGGAAGTGGTAAGTGTTGATTGTCATTTATCGTTGTTGAGCAACTTTTTGTGTTAGTTCTCATACTGAAAATAAACGGTTTGTCAAATATTTACAGGACGAGTCACTTACTTTTGTTGGTTTTGTTCCGCATTAAAAGATTTAATCTCACCTTATCCCCAGTTCCGTGAAAGTCGATTACATTTTTATGTGACATTTTTTTTATTTATGTCTATTTACTCATTTAATACTTTTGTTTCATGTATGTCTGACATCATTATGCCAAATAAGTCAACTCTCCAGAGGGTAGATTTTAATTGCATCAGGTAGTATGGCCGTTTGTCTCGCAAATTCGGACGCGACTGCTGTAGAGCCTGAATTATCCCAGTATTTATTGGTCACGGACTTGCTATCCGTTTCTCGACTGCTTATATTGAATCATCGTGAAATGAGCCCATTGTTAAAGGCAATTCATAGTCAACAAGGAAAGTCTTTGCTGTTCGAAGATCAGATCTACATGTTTAACTTGTCAAGCCAAATTTCTGAACAACTTCTTGCGCTGCTACTCCCACGCTCATGTAGACCCATCATAAGTCATGCTGCCTCGCCTCAAGTTGCGTAAAATTTTACTTTAGCGAAATGTTGGATCGCGCTATGACCTTTATTAAACTGACGAAATGTAGTCAATCGTTGGTTTTTAGAGTTGCTGTGGAATATAGCTCCTTCGTTATTTTTTGTTGGTCACGGTGTATAATCTTACGGCTGTTGTTTTTAAAAGCTTATGAAGTCACTAGTAATTGTTTCCGGTAGCCGTAAAAGCTTGCTGGTTAACCCAAATACGGGGAAAAGTATTTCCTGCTTGCTTCTAATACGTCTTAAATAAATGAAAAGTCACAAAATGGCACAGTTTTTTCAGTACTCAAATGCCAGTGGGTTATGGCCTGCTTGGAGGTGGTGTAATTTTGTCATCGCAGCACTAGAATGAATGACCTCTCATTGTTAAGCGAGCTGATTTCGAGTGTTTACACAGCATGGCTGCTTGATTAATTAGAATGCAATAATCAATCAGCTGAACTGCTTCGGTATTCAGGTTAGATTTCTTTAATGCTTATTTCTTTATTACACCACTGGAAACATTGCTTTGATACTCATTATGATGGAATCCTTTAATGCACATCACTTTAGAATCATGAAATGCACATGGCATAAGAACCGCTTTAAAAACGTATGAAATTGACTATGTAACCTTGCAGTGACAGCGAGGTAATTCGTGAAATTCAAACATACCAAAATTTTCTTGACTTATGCAGTAAAAGCCTCAAGGGCCTTAAAGTCTCGCAAATAAAATTTGATAAGTGATCAAATGATGCACTGACATGGTAAGCGGTAAAAGGCATTCACCCTAGCGAATCGCACAGCGGTTTCGGTTTTCCATCGTAAGTTGAAAAATTATCGTTCAGAGAAAATACTTTGGAAATTCAACGGGGTGGTTCTCTTTCCCTTGCATAATCCATGTCTCCCACTGTACGGTACCGAAAGCTGCAGGCTGATTTTTCATCATCGACGGTTCGAGATTGTAGATGCACTCCTGATCTAAGACCTGCAGCATGCCAGCACTATTTTGG